TCTATTTTTAATTATTAACAAATTGATAAGATATTATTGTAATTGAGTTATGCAAATGATGTTATCTTTATACATGTGATTGTAGTTTTCTTTTTAAAGAAGATCACACTTCTTTTTATACGTTAAGTGATTGATACTATCGAAACGTACTCTTGGATTGCTTTATAAATTGTTATTAACTTTGCATGATTTAAAAAAGTAGTAATTATAGTTTATTTTGTTGACCGAATGGATCATAAGTATTCCTCCACATGTAAATAAATAATATGTTTGAGAATCAAACTTTATGTGCATCAAACATATATATTCTATGTTTACACAACCAATTAGTTGGGAATTAAATTTATTTAAATAAAACAATCAAATATCAATATTTCTTGAAGCATCTAGATTCTAGATAAATGCTTCAAAATCATTCCAGTATTTTCGTACTAGGACAAGACATATTTTTGTTGATAAACTTACAAAAATGGCTCTCTCTCTCTCTATATATATATATCATGTATTGTTAGCAAGACACATGGATGCTCTAATGAGGTATTATCATTTTTAGTCTATGCCAGAAACTATTTATATTTGATAGCAGAAAAAGTGTATACAATTTGTATAATTTTTATATATAACATACAAAATGTATACATATACAAAAAAATATATAAATTTTATACAATTTTTCGATTATTATTTTTACAGCGGCTATATAGTATCATTTTTCCTTCTCTAATTATATTAAGATATGTAGTGTTTTAGTACCCCAGAAGTTTTTTCATAATTTTTAGAGATAGTAATGTATTATTATTTACTCAAGTAATCTCATAATCATCGGGTGCAAAACATATTTATTCTTATCCATGTACAATCATTTTACGTGCGAGTTAAGTTTAAACTTATTAACTTTTAAAAAATAATTATTTAACGTGTTTTAGAAAACAGCAGAATCAAAGAAAACAAAATCCAAACGCGCCAGTTTGTTTCCCAAAACTAAACTAAAACAATTTCAAATGCCTTATGAGCTTGTAACTATCCCCAACACAGCAACATTTACCAGTGAAACAAACTTGATTTTGTCTTATATTTTTATTCCGTTCTTTCTAATTCTTCATTTTACTCTTGTGATACTATTATTACAAGAAAGTATTCATTTTGTTAAAATAAAAGAAAATATTTTTTACATCATCATAAAAAAATACTTATTTTATTGAAATGAAAGAAAATATTTTTTCTATATCATAAAAATAAAAGTACTCTAAATAATATTTTCATATATTTAAGTTGGGGTAGGGGTAGGGGTTGGGTGGTAGGTGAGTAGGGATGAGGTGGGGGTAGTGGGGGTTGGTGGAGATGATAAGATTGAAAAAGAGTTTTGGAAAAAGTTTTACCTTCTTTTGATAGGGAAAATATTTTTCTCCAATTGGAGAAAAATAAATTCACAAAGAAAATATTTTTTCAAACAGTTAAACCAACTATGAAAAATTAAAACAAAAAAAATCTAGCAAATGGGTCAAGGTAGAACTCTAAGGGGTCGTTTGGTAGGATGCATTAGAGAAAATAATGCATGCATTGATTTTTGGTGTTATAAAATCCCTTATTTGATGCACTTTCTCAACTTATGTATTACTAATGCAAGTATTATTTATACAACATATTTGGTATTATCTCATGTATAACTAATACATAGCAAACCATTGTATTAGCAATACCAAGACTATAACACATGCATCAGCGTGGTCAATGACGGATCCAGGATTTTTAGATTATGAGTGCTCAACTATACTTAGTTTGAAAATTGCTACTTAGACTGGGTGCTTAGTTAATATATTTGTATAAATTACCAATTTTTCTATATAAGTAGCAGTGTTGGTTTTCAAAAGCAATGGGTGTTTAAGCACCCATATGATATAATGTGGATCCGTCGTTGAGTATGGTTAAACACAAAATTATCCTTACAGTCCCTTAAAGCTAAAGAATATATAGGGCATTTTTGTAAACAATTAATTTTCTTAAAAGTTATGCAATGCGTTTTAATATTTAATACACCACCAAACAGTGGATAAGAAATAATCCCTGTATAACTAATGCCTGCATTACTAACTCATGCATTATTAATCATTGCATTACTAATATAACTTATTCAGCAATATTCTTATACACCATACCAAACGAACCTTAAGATCGAGCATTCTTATGGGTCAAGATTGGGTATCATCATTGGTCAATTTAGATTGATAATTTTTGATGTTTTAACTTAAGTTAGCCCAAAATAGTCCATTTTCAAAAGCGTTCTAGCCCAAACCCATTAAAACTTAAACGGGTTGGGATGGTCAAATGAATTTGGATTAAGTAGGTCCACTACAAGCCGATTCGGACGATTTGTAGCCATACCCTATATTTATGCCACCTTTTAACCTATACTTTATTTTTAAAAACTATTGATTTCGTAGCCAACTAATAAAAAATCCGTAATAATCTATTATACCCCTTCCAAAACAAAAAATCCCTTTTTTCATATGCTGTGGATAGCCAGATATATTCCATGGAAACAAAAGTTCTGTCCAGCGAAATCCGCCACTCTACTATCCCTCAAAGTTATATCCGCCCTCAATCCGATAGGCCACTCCTTTTTGAAGTCGATGATTGTGAAAATGTTCCAGTAATTGACATGGGCTGTGGAGATAGAAACCTTTTAGTTCATCAATTTGGTATTTAAGAAGTATACCAAATTGGAGGAATCTGACCAAGAGGATTACATAAGTTAGTGAGCACTTGTATTTCCATCTAATACTTTCAACGTTCGAATCATATGGAAAGTCAGTTAAAACTTCAACTCTAAGAAGGTTGAAGTTCGCCAGTTATAAACAAAAACTTCAGCTCTAGAGCTGAAGTTTGCCGTTACAAAACAAAAACTTCAGCTCTAGAGCTGAAGTTCACCAGTTACAAAAAGAAAAACTTTAGCTCTAGAGCTGAAGTTCGTCAGTTACAAAACAAAAACTTCACCATTTATAAATACAAAAACTTCAGTTACTAAAGTTGAAGTTCGCCAGTTACAAAATAATTTTTTTTAGCTCTAAAGCTGAAGTTCACCAATTACAAAAATAAAAACTTCAGCTCCTAAAGCTGAAGTTCACCAATTACAAAACGGCTCGCAGTATCTTTCGACACCGTGGGAACGTGCAATCACAGGTATAATCAATCATAAAAAAGATGAAGATTCTCTTTCCCGTGAATTCTTCCATGCATGTTCACTATAAAGAGGTAATGACAAAGGCTTTTTAAGATCATCCTTGTGTAGTGCTAGAAAAAAAGAAATTTTTGAAAGTGAATTTATTGGTGATGAAATCAACTTTTTCTCCCATTTTTGGTTCTGAAAAGTCCTAAAACGTGCTTAATGACTTTGCATTGTTCCTTGAAATAACATAGGTGTACTGTTAGCTTCCTTTGAGAAAATTCCAATTTTAACACAGAGGACTAGCTTATACTTGGAGAGAAAGTAGTCTTTTAATAAAGAAGGGTAAAATAGTCTTTTTTAAAGGCTTTTAACAAAAAAAGGGTACGAATACAAATAAAAAAACAAAGCGATTACAGGTTAAAAAGGGGCGTCCCGTAATTTTTAGGTTGATTCTGGACCGAAAAGACCCAACGGACTAATCCCTTAATTTGCCACCTCTATGTAATAGTCCAAAAATAGTAGGAGTAGATATTTAAGGAAAAAGATAAGAAAAATGAACAGGGACCCATTCAAAGAATATAATCATTGGAGACTTATCCAATAAGAAAACAAGAAACAAGCATGGCCAAGTAAAATTCACTGAGCCACAAACTCTAACCCTTTTATTGAGAAAAGAAACTAAAGAAAAGCAGAATACTCCTTTCCGTTTTTTTGGGTTTGTGAGAAATATTGATTAATTTTTTTTGGTATTCAAATTCTTTTTGTTGGATGCTAAGAACTTCTTCCTCGACATAATTTTATTTCACCTTTTCTTGTTCTTTCCCATAATAACTACATAAGACAAGCAAAAATATATATCGTATTTTTACCTCTATTTTCTCTCTCCTTTCCCAGACAAATGGTTAAAATAAATTAGCACCAAATAATCCAATGCAATATGTAATTTTATTAAGATAGTGAGCTTTGATCGGGTGCTAAGTGATATATACGAGTTTATAATTTATGTACTGAGTGTAAAAAATATGAATTTATCAAATAAATAATACTGTTAATAAAGAAAAAACTTTTATGAAGCATATATATAATCTTTCCGTTTCAATTTATGCGAATTTATTTAAATGTCACGAAGTTTAAGAAAGAACGAAAATTTTTAGAACTTGTGATATGCAGAGTATTTGTATGGCTATAAAAGCTTCTCACCAAGGATAAAGTTGAAGTTTAAGTTAAATCGTTTCCAAATTTAATAAACGATCATTCTTTTTAGGATGTACCAAAAAGAAAACAGGTTCATCTAAACTGAAATTAAGGGAGTATAATTTAAAATCGAAATGAAATACCACTACGTCACAAAAAGGACTTAGTGGGCATTTGGACATAAGAATTGTAAAATTCCAAAAAAAAAGTAATTTTTTTTTCAAGTGAAAATGACATTTGAAAATTAGAGTTGTGTATGGACATGAATATAATTTTGGGTTGTTTTTGAATTTTTGTGAGTGATCTGAGTGAAAATTTTAAAAAATAACTTTTTCGAGTTATTCAAATTTTTGAAAAAATTCAAAAGTCATATTCAAATAAAAGTTGAAAATTTTATAGCCAAACACTGATTTCGAAAAAAATAAAAAAATTTTGGAAAAAAGTAAACGAATTCTTATGTCCAAACATGCTCTTAGAAATCTCAAGACAAAAAAAAAAAAAAAGAATTTCGATACAGCTGCTGAGTCATTAATGTTCAATTTTGGAACTTTTGGGGGCAAAAAAAGATTAGTTGAGAGTTGGAGAGTAATTTATTTATTTAATCATTAAAAAACAATAATTTGAAAAAAAGAAACATGTGTAGGCTTGGTGCCAAAAGGGGCCATAAGGGAAACCTTGAACAGCTGCTGCAATCTGCATGGCGAGAAAACCAAACCCGTGTTCCTGCAAAACTTTCTCTATTACACTCTCTCCTCAAAAGGGTTTGGATTTTATGAAATTTGCAAAAATCCCTTAGCCTTGTTCGTTTCTCCATTTTCCTTTCTCTATTTTGAGATTTTTTTCTCTCTTCTCTACATAATACATACAAAATTGTGACAGCTTGCAGCTTATGGACTGTCTTTCCACTTCAAATTCAATATCCCAATTCCTCATTTGGGTCTTTCTTGTTGTTGTAATTGTCGGTGCTGAAGATGGAGTCGATTGAAGATACCCGCATTCCTCAGAACAATTTGGTACTTTAATTCTTGAAAAAAATTCCCTTTTTTTAAACACTTGCTGATTCTTTTGGTTGTGCATTGAGCTTTGTTGGGGGTGCTCTTGGTTGCTGGTTCTTGAATTTTACTTTTTGTGCTATTTCTTTGTCTAAAATGGATATTGATTTTGTTGTTCCTTTTTTGGTTTCTCTCTTATTATATACTTAAAATAGGAATTGGGTTTTGGGAAACTGTGATAGATATGTCGTTGTTCATTATCTAAGGCCATGTTATGAGTTAATATTGTGGGAACATGTATGACTCACTATTTCACTACTAAAGGCAACAAATTAATGTATAGAGTAGTTCTATGTTTTTTTCCCTTGGAATAGCTAATTCTAGGTAAAACGTTCCTCTCATGAAATGTAGTTAAACGTTTCTGCTTTACTTCTTCATCCCCGTCTTTCTGGTTGATGGTTTGTTTATTCTTTTCTTTCATTATTAACTTCAATGTTTGTTAAAGATTGGGTCTTGTGTGAAAACTCCTTTTCCCATTTCTGGTCTACCTTTGGATGCCATCAGGGCAATGGTAAATTCACTAAAACTCACAACTTATCTTAGTTTCCTCATAGTTGGATGTGTTTCAGACTGTCACTACTGTCACTGTTAACGGAAGAGACGTAGATGCTATAGCTGTTCACATTGTCCTTTTTGGTGAATATGAATTTTTTGTCCATTCTTCTAAATGACCAAAAGAAGTTATATTTTTTCATAATTGTATCATTTGACTCATGAGGTGTTATGATTTAAATTTCTATGAAGATGATCTGCTTTGTGAATAAATAAATGCATCATATGATTCATGACTTATACTAATTCAATTGAAACACAGATCCTACAAACGCCTGGAATCAAGTATAATGGTGTTCCATCTAGATTGGAAAGGCTATTAAGAGAAAGGGAACTACGAAAATCCAGCAAGTCTCTATATGCAAATGAAGGCATAAGAGATGGCTACAGAGACTCAGATGTTTCTGTAAATGGAATTGAACTCTGTCTATCAGATGGCGATAAGAGAACTCGAGATGAAGAGCTTATTGAAGGACTTGTAGCTGCAAAAACCCTTTCTGATGGCTCTGAGAGGCTAGATGGACGACCACAAAAGCAAAGATTGTTGGTTGTGGCAAATCGGTTGCCTGTTTCTGCTGTTAGGAAAGGCAAAGATTCATGGGCTCTAGAAGTTAGTGTAGGAGGTTTAGTTCGAGCGCTGTTGGGTAAGACAAAAATAATGCTCTATATACACGAAAAATGACTAGCACATTTTGCTCCTGATACCTTTCTTTATTTTTCTCTGCAGGCATTGTTCATTTCCTTATCTTCTTAAATTATCTACTACATTTGAGCTTCAGTGAGGTTCTTTTCATCTTGTATGTGTGCTAGCTGATGTCTTCTTATTTTGGTAAAGGTGTCAATGAGTTTGAAGCAAATTGGATCGGGTGGGCTGGGGTGAATGTACCTGATGAAATTGGTCAGAGATCACTTACTGAAGCTCTAGCTGAAAAGGTTTGTAAAATAGGTCCCATTTTAAATTCTTGATATATCACTTGCCAACAAAGTGATATGTGTAGAGCTCTACTTCTGTATACCGCCTATTATATGCTGTTGCGACATCAACATGTAATAAAATACTGAACTTCATCTAAAAGATTTTACCTTGATGCATGCTATCAAATTTAATATCTGTATAACAACTACCATAAAAAGGTTGGATTTTTATGTGCTTTATTGTTTACATGACTGCAGAGGTGCATTCCAGTTTTTCTTGATCAAGAAACTGTTCACCAATATTACAACGGCTATTGTAATAACATTCTATGGCCTCTTTTCCATTATCTCCCACTTCCGCAAGAAGACCGTCTTGCAACCACCCGTAGCTTCCAGTCCCAGTTTGCTGCATACAAGAAGGCAAACCAGATGTTTGCTGATGTCATCAATGAGCATTATCAAGAGGGTGATGTCGTCTGGTGCCATGATTACCACCTGATGTTTCTACCAAAATGCCTTAAAGAGTATAATAGTAAAATGAAAGTTGGTTGGTTTCTTCACACACCTTTTCCTTCATCCGAAATTCATAGGACATTGCCATCTCGATCAGAGCTGTTAAGAGCAGTTCTTGCTGCTGATTTAGTTGGGTCAGTCACTTATCTCTATTTTCAATAATTCAAATATTGTCACAAATTGCTTAGGTATTGCAAACAACTATCAATTTTGAATTATGGTATTGTTCAAGATCGGTGTAACGGAGTGGACAAGGCTACCTAGAAAAAGCATAAGAGACGCTTACCTATTGTACCAAGTAATGTTCTCCGTGCTGTTTCACCATGAGATATTATACCTTAAGTGAATGAGGAAAAGAATGTAAAGCAGTCTTAAGGATGCAGTGCGTAACAAGATCGTCTGTCATCTGTGGACGGTCTAGATTAGTGTAAGCACTAACCAATGCTTCTCCTAAAGACTATCTTAAAGTAGTATTCAGAAGAAGGAATAGAGGTTTGATACCATTTGTGTCCAATTTGGTTGATGCCTATTATTGGGAAGGAGTGTTTAACATATTGTGAGCAAACTCTGGTTAATTAAAGAAGCAAACTGTCCCTTTTTCTTGTTTACTTTTTTTTCTTTTTCTTACCTCAAGAGGTTTATAATGAGAAAATTCTTATTGTTGTGATGGTGATGCATAAATGAGGGTTTGAGAAGCATTCCACCAGGGAAACAAAGGGCTTGTGTTTTCAAATACCATCAGTAAATTTAGTAAGGGGATAAGTACCTCATTAACATCACGGAGTTCAGCTTATTTTGAATCCATGACTATTTTCTGAACTATGAGAATTTTCTGTACTTCATAATTTTGCAGCAAGAGGATTTAGATTGTCCTTTATGTAAAGAGCTTTCAGCTGGTTCAGGTTTTGAATTTTTTTGATTTTGTCTACAGCTTCCACACTTACGATTATGCAAGGCATTTTGTTAGTGCTTGCACTCGCATTCTTGGGCTTGAGGGCACACCTGAAGGAGTGGAGGACCAAGGAAAGCTGACACGTGTTGCTGCGGTATATGAAGCATTTATTAATAGCTTTAAATGTTTTATATTTTTTCTTTTTTCATCATTTGCAACTTAAGTCAAGTTTCCTCTTTTGCAAGAGGTTATGGATGATATATTGACTGGATCCTTTGGATGAACAGTTTCCTATCGGGATAGATTCTGATCGGTTCATTAGAGCTCTTGAGCTTTCTCCAGTCAAGTACCATATCAAAGAACTGCAAGAAAGATTTGCTGGCAGAAAGGTTCATTCCAGTATAAAATCTTTGATCACCATGATGCAGATTTTTTTACAGCATTCAATCAGTATAGCTCGAAATGTGGAATGCCTTAATTATTTCACTCCTCAAATTTTCTGTCATCCTCAGTGCAACAGTTTGATGTATGCTTCCTCGTAAAAACATCAAAAAATTGGAATATAGAAAAAAGGTGAAAACAGATATATTATCCCCATTTCAGTCATTATCACAAGAAGAGTTGCCTTAGACCTTGATTGCAAAGTATTACAATTTGTTTTTAAATTTCTGATTTTAAAGCCATGTATAGGTGTGAAGTAGAAAAAGAAAAGTGAGATGACCATCTATATAATAGATGGGATGATTGAGAATAAAGGAAGAAAATTGAAGAGAAGCAAAGATGGAAACCTAAGTAAACTTTATTTACTGATTTTTGATTGGCAATTTGTTAATTTACAGGTAATGCTGGGCATAGACCGTCTGGATATGATTAAGGGAATCCCCCAAAGAATATTGGCATTTGAGAAGTTCCTCGAAGAGAACCCAGACTGGCGTGACAAGGTAGTTTTGCTACAAATTGCAGTGCCAACCAGGACAGATGTCCCCGAGTGTATGTTCCTTGTCATCAAGTTTATTTCTGTTGTTTAACTACAGCATATAATTTGCATACTACTGAATCATGTCTTGTAAATTTTGTGAACAAAAATACTGCTAGTTGTCAAGAACATCTGGAAAGAAAAAGAAAGGAAAAATGACGATGTTCTTGGATTGTGATAGGCGAACTTAACGAATAATTTATTAACTGCAATAAAATATCCTTAAAAACTTCTACAGACAAGCTCCTCCTCTCTAAAATTCCGATAATCCTATCTGCAACATTCCATCTTTCTGGTATTCTTCTCTAAGCTTGTATCTCTCCAATGTCTCTCTTATCTTCTCCATTCTTCCTTTTCCTCCTCGCTCGAGATTGTGAACCTTGTCAGCTTCTAATAGCCTCTTCTTAGCCACTCACTTTCTGTTTTCATCTCAGGCGACTCTGTCTTCTGATCTGACATCTTTTGAATAGGGCAAAAAGACACTGATTATGCAGTAATTAACCCTAGTTTAACGGCATTGAGAAATATAAGTCAATACTTTTATCTTCTATGGAAAAGTCCCTTGTTTTATGCCTGTGAGAAATCTTCCGAATGTTCAAAGACTGATAGTGCAAATTCGAGTGGACTGAATGGAAGAGAAGATCTGTAAACAGGAGTAATGTTGAGGGCGAGATACATCAAGAGTTTGAATCCTGCTGGCGAATCAAATGAACTAAGTTTGGTACTTAGTGCAGAAGGATCAAGGGGTAGGCCTATCATTTTCCGAGTTCCAAAGTTGGAAAGAGTGGATTCTGATTTTTTTTTTTTTTATAAAAAGATTCATTTATATCCTTCTCAAAAAAAAAAAAAAAAGATTTT